TGGGCAGGAAGAGGCTGATGTCCTCCTTGCTTCTGAATCCACTGAAGCTGCTGCTACTGCTGGTGGTGGTCCACAGATTTCACTTTAGAATGAATGTAACATTTTAGCAAAGCTTTAGAATGTAACAGAATAGATGTATTCATCAGGCCCTACATTATTACAAGGCAATATGATACTTAGTTTTTTATGATTTCAGCTATAAAGATTGAGTCTGATAAGTACAGTAATATACTGTAATGATGGTAAGTGTTCAGCACTCATGATCCTATTTAATTCTCACAGTCTGAGGAGTTAAGTTCTAGTATCTCCCACATCTTAAAGATTTGTTAGCAGACGCTCAGACACTGAGGTCACCCAGCAGAAGATAGCTATCTTCTTCCATACCTTCCCTGAAGTTATGATCCCTCCATCTCCCCCAGATCACATACATCTCGTTGGTTCTTAGTATGGGGAAGTGGGTCATAGAGGGAATCTGGAATCAGTTGGGCGTAGGTTTAAGTTCTGGCTCTGCTGCTTCCTATGTCTTAACCTCTGAGCCTGTGTTTCCTCCTCTCTCTAATGGGGATAAGAAGAGAGTGTGGTTTACAGGGATGCTGTAAGGACTAACTTAAACAATAACGGAGACTATTGGCACATCACCTGACTTGAACATAGCAATGAGTAACTCTTTTCTCTGGCCCTTGCTTCTCAGCCCAGGAGAAACAGACTGAGAAACTTCTGCTCCTCCCACCCCAAGAAGCTACTTTTCTCACCACTTGCAGAGCACTGTCTTCTTATGCTAGAACTGACCTTGCTGTTTGATGAAGCAGAGCCATGGGGTCCCTGGTGTGTTGGGTCTAGGAGAATGGTCAGCAAAACACTGACACAGCTGAGGCACCTCCATTCAGACATGGTGCCACTTCTGGCCTGGGCCTGCTGTTCTCATCCAGAATGTCTGGCCCTGATCTCCAAGGCCTTCCTCTTTTAAACTTCCAGGTATTCCTTCTCTTGAGAGGGAGGGACCATGCTGAAGGGTGGGGATGTCTCTGAATGTGGCATTGAGGCCTACACAAACCAGGATTGTCCAAGAAATGGGGCTGGCATCTTGCCTGGAGAAGGGCCAGTTCTGTGCCTCCTTTTTCCCCTTCATCCAGCTGTAAGATGAATGGAAACTAAACATACCAGAGTGCTGGGTCTGTCTGTTTGCTATGTTGGCTCAGGGTGGGGTTTTTCTTTCCTATAAACATCCACTGGAGCTCAATAACTGGAGCCAGAGAAAGGTCACTGAGCACTGATCATCTTAAAAAGGTAGCAGCCTTTAAGAGAGTTGGAGAAGCAAATACCCAGCATTGGTCTTTTCTGTTGCTCTCTTTAGTCTTGACATGGGAGGGACTATAACAGTGTAGAGGTTCCACAGAAATGAGGTTTCCAATCTCAAGAATAGCCAGAGGACAAGATGGGCTGCAGTAGAGATGAGAAAGAGTATATAATTTGGCCATTTAAAACACAGGCTCAGGACTGAGAACATCTGGGTTGGAATTGCAGTTCGGCTGCTTACTGGCTGCATGGTATTCAGCGAGAAAACTTACCACTCTGCAGCCTCAGTTCCCTCATCTGTAAAATGGGGATAACAGTGATATTTCCTAAAAGTGTCAACACTGAGCCTGTACTTTTGAAATTCTTGATATCTGGTAGATGTTCAGTAAATGCATGGTGGGATGAGGTATGGCAAAAATCAAAGTATGGTGGCCTAGCATAGTGCTATACATGTATAATCCCAGCATTTGGAAGACTGGTGCAGAACTATGAATTTGATGGTAGCCTACATTATATGGTGAGTACTATGCCAAGTTGGCCTCTGCAGTGAGATCCTGCCTCAAAACGTCAACAAAAGAGCATGGGGAGCCCCCTGTCCTACTGGAGACATGAAAGGGGCAGAAAGATGCAGGGTTGAGATGCTCTGAGCCCAGTATCTGAAGGTCCTGTGGAAGATAAATTGAGGATTGTGCCTGCACAGGGGCCATTAGCATGTATCAGAACCTTTAACGAACTTATATGAACATAGATTACATTCACAAGATTTCCAACATCAAAACTCTCTGAAGACTTTTTATAAATTGGCATGAAGATCACAAAGACACCTGGATTTGTTTTATGGCATTCAGCACTGCACAACAAAGTCTCATTCTGGCCTTTAGGGATATTCATGAAGTGCTGGGTTGGGTCTTCAGCGCTGTGTAAAAGGGATGTGGTGTAGCTTGTCTGTAATCTCAGCACTAGGGAGGGAGAGGCTGGAGGATCAGAAGTTCAAGGTCATCCTCAGCCACACAGGGAGTATAAGGACAGCCTAGAATATGTGAGAACATGTTTTTAAAAAAGAAGAGGAAGAAATTTCCTCATAGAAGACAGTCCTAGCTGCGGAGAAGCTTTGTTTATATAGCAACAGAGAAAACTTCAGCAGGTGCCCACTCTCTCTTAAAGACAAACAGATAACCAAGGGAAATTAAGAAAGCCTGTACTATGAAAGCAAGAAGCCAAAACAAGCAAATAGAACAAACGAACCCAGAGCAAGTTGGAAATTTGAGTAACAAAAGAGAACTTCAGGAGAAAATTATACTTGTCAATCATTCAAGAAAATGTGACATGCATGAAGCAAGAATTAGATGCTACAAAACAAGAACAATCAGAGAAAAGAAAGACACCTCAGAAATGGAAAAGAAGTTGCTGGAAATAAAAATGTCAACAGAAAGATTGGAAAATAACATAGAGGAAATCTCTTGGAATGTAAGGTGAAACAAACAAACAAAAAAAACCAAACAGGAAATATGAAAGAAAAATGCCAAAGATACAGATCAACATAGCAGACACAACATTTAGAGAAATGAGTTACAGACTAAAAGAAAAATAATGAAACATTTTGTCTCGGTATATTTGTCATATTGTTACTTCCCTTTTTAAAATGAGTTTTTTAAAAAATTGTTTTTTCAGAGTTTTGTGAGGAAGGGAAGGAGGGAGAGAGCATGAAATTGGGTGGGTAGCAGAATGGGGATGATCTGGGAGGAGTTTGGGGAAGGAAAAGAATATGATCAAAACATATTGTATGGAAAATGTTTTTTAATTATTATTTTTATGCCCTGACCGTTGTTTCCCCTCCCTTCTCTCCTCCCAGTCTCCCTGCTTCCTCTCTGCTCCCAAAGGGCAGGCCTCCCATGGATATCAACCAAACATGGCATATCAAGTTGCAGTAAACTAGGCACCTCCCTCATATTAAGGCTGGATGAGGCAACTCAGTAGGAGAAATAGGGAAGGGAAAAGGTTTTAAAGAAAAGTTTTTTGAGTGTATCAGGAGCTGGGCATGATGGTGCATACCTGTCATCCGAGTACTGGCAAGGCTGGGGCAGGAGGATTGCTGCAACCCAGAGGCCAGCCTGGTCTACATACTGAGTGTCAAGAAACTGTATCCAAAAACCAAAACTGTATCCAAAGCCCAAAATTAAGCCTGGGACCACCACCTCAGTCACTGCCGAAGCTCCCACACCATCTGTCTTCCATCAGTATATTTCCAGGTCCCTTTAAAACCCAATCCACATTCTTTCATCTCCCTGTTCAAATGGTGGAATCCACCAAGGTTCATTTACTGAACCTTATGTGAGAGGAGCTAGTGAGGCAAGCCTTCATTACCATTCTCATCACACAGCCCATTACTCCTCTCCCTTCTCCTTCTACTGCTCTAGCAACCCTGGACTTCCATGTTCTTCCAAAATGCCAGGGATGGGAACAATGCTATGAGTAGGTTCTTACCTTTCCACTTGGAAAATCTTTTCTCAGATATCCACTTAGCTCTCTCACCTTATTTTATTCCACCATTTCTGTGAGTTACTTCTTAACCAGCATGCTTTCCCCCCCAAATTATTTTTATTAGTTCAAATTAGAAACAAGCCTGCTTCACATGTCAATCCCTGCTCCCTCTCCCTCTCCCTCCCCTCCTCCCCACCCCTACTAGCCTCTCCATGCCCCCTCTGCTCCCCAGGAAGGGTGAGGCCCTCCATGGGAGATCCCCAGAGTCTGTCATATCATTATGGTCAGGGCCTAGGCCCTCTCCCATGTGTCTAGGTTGACAGAGCATCCTTCCACATGGGATGGGTTCCCAAAGTCCTTTCTTATGCCAGGGATAAATACTGGTCTACTACCAGAGGCCCCATGGAGTGCTGAGGTTTCCTCACTGACATCCACATTCAGGGGTCTGGATCAGTCCCATGCTGGCCTCCCAGACATCAGTCTGGGGTCCATGAGACCCCCTTGTTCAGGTCAGCTGTTTCTGTGGCTTACACAGATGACCTCATTGCTCATCACTCTTCCCTCTCTACAACTGGGTTCGAGTTCAGTTCAGTGTTCAGATGTGGGCTTCTGCCACTGCTTCCATCAGCCACTGGATGAAGGCTCTATGGTCTCATTATAGGGGAAGGGCATTTAGGGTAGCCTCTCCACTATTGCTTAGATTGCCAGTTGGTGTCATCCTTGTAGCTTAGTGTCAAGTTCCCTAGTGCCAGATTTCTCCTCAGACCTATAATGGCTCCCTCTATTATGGTATCTCTCATCCTGCTCTCCTTCTTTCTTCCCCCAACTCAACCTTCCTGATCCCCCATTTCCTACTCTCCCCTCCTCTTCTCCCCCTCTCTTTCTCCCATCTCCCTCTCCCCTACCCCCATGCTCCCAATCCACTCAGGAGATCCTGTCCCCTTCCCCTTCTCTGGGGTACCATGCATTCTTCTCATGGGCTTCTCCTTGTTTACTAGTTCCTTTGGTGATATTTAACCAGCATATTTAAAACGGAAATAACATCCTTTCTTAATTGCTATTCTCTCTCTCTTTTACCCAGTTTATTAGTTCTGCCTGTCCCCCTGCCCCTTGATTCTATGAGACAGAGCTTTACTATGTAACTCAGACTGGTCTCATACTCCAGATCCTCCTTCCCTAGGCTTCTGAGTGCTGGGAGTAAAGAATGCACCATCACACCTGGCTTTTGTTTTCTCCATAGCACTTTATTTAAGTTGTTACAGATCTTACTTCTTTATCCAATTGTTTCCTCTCTTCCCCTTACTAGAATCAACTCCATGGGAATCAGGCATTGCTTTCTGTCTTCTCCACAGTTATGTCTTCAGCTCCCAGAACAGCATCTAATACCTAGCAGACAATAAATATTTGTTTAATGAGTTGACATAATAAAAGCATATAATTTATGGAAGAATAAAACCTGTTACAAAGTCTACATATATACAAGAAAGTAGTGGTTCAAATATAAAACAAAATAAAATATGGTTATAAGCAACTAATGGAGTATGAAACAGAACTTGATTTGAGAAAGAAAAAGTCTCCTTTAAGAGTTCCAAGGTTAATGGCATTGGACTTGTAAAGAAGGAAGTGTATTCTTGGCTCACTACTTAGCTGGATTTTGGAAAAAAATATTTACATAGTCAAGACAATGTAAATACTGTTTATTGGTTTTTAGGTTTAAGAGCTACCCTGGAAAGACAAAGAGAGGAAGATCTCGTTAATACTGCAGAACAGAACATAAATGTCAGTAATATGTATAACGTAAAAGGAAAGATCAAAGAGATAATGTAGGACAGTGATGGGCAATGTGCAGCTAATATCTTTGTTTTTAAAAGCAGGCAGTTAGGAATAATACTGGCTTTGTAAAATGGCGGTTGTACATTCTCCTCCAAGATCTATGAATTCCCTAGACCCTGGCAGTTGGCTAGGTTTCCGTACCAGGCATAATATCCCCAGAGAGATGATGGTTTCTTCCCATGTATTCATTCTACTATTGTACCCTCAGCGTTATAGCACCATGCCAGTTGTTGTGTTCATAGACATCATGGCTGTGAAGTTGCTTCCCTCCCTTTGAAGCTGGCAATGTACCTTCTGCTATTTATACTTAGATAAGCATGGTTCTCACCCCTCCCCAAGGAAACTTCTCCTTGCAACTGAAAGACCATTACAGAAAATCACAACCAATCAAACTGCAGAGATGTGGAGCCCAATCCCAACTGACATACCTACAACACAACTCCTTCAGCTACGTCTCAAGGATCATTGCAGAAGAGGGAGCAGAAAGAGTGTAAGAACCAGAAAAGCAGGAAGTTTGTTGTGAGATTTTGTCTCCTTGAAATGTCAGAGAAACTAGACCCATAAAGTCTCTTAACAACATGGCTGACTAAACACTATCTGAACAAGGAAAATCCCAATACACATGCTAACATAGAAGGTGGAAAGGCCATGAGACCTTAACCATAGCTAAAGAACTACAGACAATTAAGCAATGCTGAGAGTGGGAGAAATAGTCTTGACCAAGAAGAACACACTGATTGATTATTCCATACCAATGGTCATCCCTGAAAACATATAAATATGACCAAACAGGTTGTATTTATATATTTGGGGATATGTATGTACGCACACATATATATTCATAGAAAAACTGTAGCCATAATTTTAAAAAAAGAGTCAATGCATTTGACAGGGAAGTGAGTGAGGGGTACAAGGATTGGAGGAAGGAAAGGGAAGAGGAGAGGGATGTAACTACAATCTCAAAAAAATAAAAATATACTTGAAAATAAAATAAAAAGCAGGCAGTTGAAATCATTTTAAAAATAGACAAAATAGGAAATAGAGGTCTCTCTTTTTCAGGCTACAAATTAAGCAATAACAAAAAAGTACTGATGGGGTGAGTGGAGAGAAAAACACAGAAACTCTGGGCATGAAGAGCATCTTCATCCTTATCTTGGGGACTTAATGTGACATTGTCTCAATTTTGTAAGCTAAGAAGTAGCATTATCAAGTGTTGTAGAGAGACCCAATGGTGGATGTAAAACCAAATAAAGAGGGGCTTTGAGAACAAACTTACATTGTTTCTTGAAAAACAGATCCAACTGGAGATGATAATTTTATTAAGCAAATTAAGCTTGTCTCAGAAAGACATAAATGTTTTCTCTTATTTGTGGTTCTTAGACCATCTATAGATACATAAAATCATGTATATGAAAGCAGAAGTGAAAGTGCCTAGGGGAACAAAGAGGGCTAAGGGGAAGAAGGAGAAGAAAAAGGGGAGGGGGAAATATGGCCAACAATACAATATACACTTGCATGACAACTTAAAAACATTTCAAAAGGTGGTTTCACAAGTGTAGGATGGAGACGTGGAGAGTTGAGACACAGGATCATTTTTTCTTAAGTATTTTTATTAAGGGAAAGATGATCATTTCAATGAATATTTAATGTAAACTAGCATATACTTACATTAATTTTTCTTATCTTCTTTTTAATTAATTTTTATTCAAACTAAAAACAATTTTATTTTACATATCAATCCCAGTTCCCTCCCCCTCCTACCCTCCTTTGCCCCCCCACTGACCTCCCCATCCTACCCCCATGCACTCCTCAGGGAGGGTGAGGCCTTCCATGGGGGATCATAAAAGTCTGTCACATCATTTGGGACAGGGCCTAGGCCCTCCCCTGTGTATCTAGACTGAGAGAGTATCCCTCCATAGGGAATGGGCACCCAAAGCCCATTGGTGCACTAGGGATAAATACTGGTTGCATGGGATCATTTTTATAATATTTTATAATATTTCGTTTGAGTTGTTACTATGTACACTTCAGAATTTAATAAAAATACTTAAAATATTATGTCGACCTCACAACTGTAATAAAATGTTTCCCTCCACGAATATGGGTCTTGCACTGTAGCCCTTAGCTGGTCTAGAACTCACTATGTAACACAGGCTGGCCTGGAATGTGGGAGAATCATGCCTCTTCCTCCCAAGCAAGGTGATTACAGGTTTACACCACCAAACCTGTCTCGAAATGTGTATGTCTTATGACATGTTCTAAATGGAAATATCCAGTTAGACTTGACTCTTCAGATGGAAATCATACTGTAATGCCCTTAACATATTTAGGAAGAGTGCTGGTTTTTTATTTTTATTTTGTTTTTTATTACTATAGTAAAGTGCCCAAGGCTGCATGTTCAAAGTCCAAGATTAGTTGGTTCTATCTCCTGCAGCCCTGCCTGAATTTCAACAAGATGAATAGCATCATGGTGGAAGCACATACAAGGAGAGCTCAAATGCTGAGGTGTGTATGAATCTTTTAATAATAATTCACAACTATAGAAACTCACCTGAGTCCCAAGAGAATGACATCAACCTCTCCCAACAGTGATTAGCCCAGTGACCTCGTCTCTTTTCAGTAGGCCGCATTTCTGAAAGATTCCACTAATTCAAATCATTCCACCAAGTCTCAAGCTTTCAGCACACGAACCCTTGGGAGAGAAACAACATCCAAACCAAACCACAGCACTTGGAAAGCATACGGGACTTAAAACCACCAGCAATGTAATATCATGGTTAAAACACTGGTATTTGATATCCATTGAGTTGGGCTCAAAACCCCTCTGTGCTGCATACCCATTTAGATGAAAGCTTGCCTCTGGTAAGCTATCTTTCTTATCCCCTAATGTTGTCCTCTATCCAATAAGGCTGGCGCTCACACTGTAGAAATGTAAGCCTTTATGCTTTTGAAAATTTTATTGGAGTAAAGGAACAGCTTCCTGTAGCCAGAAGAGGACTTGAAAATGACTTGCTCAAATCTAAACCTTTTATGAGGAAGGGTCACCTTTGTGATGGTGCCTAGTAGATAGTTGGTCCCCATTTTCTTTTCGATGTGAGAAATCCTTTCTCACAGGTTTGTTTTTAGGAGGCTTCTGTGTACAAAGAACCTGGGAGAAGTGGTATTAGTCCAGAATATCAGGATTTCATATATATGGGGAATCTATCTTTTATTTAACAAAAGGTAGTCTGTCTGTCTGTCTGTCTGTCTGTCTCCTTTTGCATAGATAGTCCTCGGAGTTTAGAGTAACAGAGAGTGAGTTAAATTGCCTTACAACAGGATTCCACCAGTAGATCAAAAGAGAGAGCAGCCATAGAGCCTGATGGTGTGTGTGTGTGTGTGTGTGTGTGTGTGTGTGTGTGTGTGTGTGTGTGTGCGTGCGTTCCATGGCGCTCATGTGGAGGTCAAAGAACAACTTGCTGGAGTCAATTCTCTCTTTCCACCATATGGGACCCTGGGATCAAGCTCAGGCCATCAGGCTCTAGGGCAAGTGCATGCGCCTGCTGACCACAATCTCAGGTATTTTCTGATGGCCTATGGTTATTGGAAACAGGCCTTGAGCATAACGACTTAGGCTCTACAGATTGTGCAGATTAATGCTGATGATCAAAAGACTCTACAGAACATAAGAAGAAAATGGAAGGAAATTTCTCTAGTCAAAAGGTAAAGACTTTGAGCTAATTGGTTTTTTCCTTTTTAGATAAGGTCGTAGCCCCCCATCTCTATGTCCTAAGATAAGGATATTTATGGCATTGTGTTAGGAAGGCAGTAAAATTAAGGAAGGGCATTACCTCTCTGATGAACTTGGACTGAGATTTAGTTTACTTCATTAAATTCGATAATATTCAAGGTTCTAATTCTGTTCCTCCCGAGAGACCACTAGCAAGACAATGTGGAACTCTAAATGTTGGAAATGGAACGAGAGAGGACAGGGGAAGCTGATGTATGAGAAGAAGTTTCTAGGCAAGAGAAAGTGTCAGCTCACAGTGAAGTGCTCTGCTTAACTGGAATATAGACAATTACATATACTTTTCAGAAGAAAAAACAGCAGAAAAAAATGGCTGGCAAATAGGCACAGATGGCAAGCTCAGGTATTTCTTGAAAATCTACTCACTGTCACGAATACCACATATGACATTCAGAACCACCAGTAAAGTGTTGCACAGAATAGACTCTGAAACAACAATGGCTAAATGAGACATACAAAATAATGGCTAAATGAGACATACACTTATTTATCTTATTAAAAGAAAGCCAGGGGTAGGCAATCTATCCCACAGAGTTGTCTAGAATTGGGTTCTTTTCACTTACTGCGATGCTGTCCTTAAGTGTAACTGTAGTCTTCTCTGTCTTTATCCAGGGCAGAGCTTCTGTATCCTAAAAATGAGATCTTCCATGACTAGAGAAAATGAAGAGAGAGGATATCAGGTTAAGTAATTAGCAATTGACTCTGCAAATGTCTGCACTGAAGATATTCTTTCCAAGCTCACCAGAGATTTACCTGTAAATATGCCTGGACTTTTTCTTATGCTTTGCTTTCCTAGACTTCCCCAATATTTAACATCTTAAACACATGTATTCCTCCCCTCCCTCTCTCCTTCTCCCCTTCTGCTCCTCTCCCCCTATGTAACACAGGTTAGTTAATCCTGATGTCTTTGGTTCCTAAATGTGGGAATTGCCGTTGTATGCTACCACATAAAGCTGAAAAAAAAAACAGCAATATGTGTATTTTTAAAACCAGTGACAGAGATCAAACCCAGGCTCATGTTGTGTTGAGTGGATCCCAAACCATAAAATTATTTTTGTTGCGACTTCATAACTGTAATTTTGCTACTGTTATTAATTGTAATATAAATATCTGCTATGCAGGATATCTGATGTGTGATCCCTGGGAAAGAGTCATTTGACCCTCTCAACCCACAGTTTGAGAACCACTTCTTAAAAATGCCTTTCAAATCCTGTCTTTTCTTTGGTCACACCTTACGACTTCTTTTCATTTATTTCAGCCATACCATCCATACATGTTTCTGACCTCTGGGGCTCATTTCTGGGTTCAGTATCTTCCAGTTTGATGCATTCCTTCCTCCTGGGTGCACTTTCCTGTGAATTAAAGACCCATTTATATAATGACAGTTTCTAGATTGACAGTCTTTACTTGGGCCTTTTTCTTGAGTTTCAGACATGCTCATTCAACTGCCAATACAGTATTTCCACCTGGATGAACCACAGGTGCTTCAAAACCAACATTCATTTCCTCTTAAATCCATTCCTCCATGTCTCAGTGGAAGGGTCACCATCTACACTATCAGTTAAATAAAGATCCCAAGATTTGAATATGTTCCTCTTTCAAATTCATCCGCACACAGTCCAATAACTCAAGTCCTAATGTGCACCCCACCCCACCCCCGCCCATCTCCTCACTATCTCTGCAGCTAATACTCTAGGACAAACGACAAGCACTGCTTGCTTGGATGGCTACCAAGGTCACAGTTATGCTCTCTATTTCCAAGAAGACACTCAATCTCCACACAACACCTAAGTCCTTCTTCGATAAAATACACACCTACAATATTCATGCTGTCTCCAGCTGTAGGGCTCTTTAATAGACTTTCAGTACCCTCAGGTTTGGGAACTTATTATCTTGCTATCGAATGTTTATTATAACTTCGAAGGGAGAGGAATTCAGGGTGCCAGAATTGGAAGAAAATGAGAGGCTGGTCTAATGTGATCAGCACAGAAAGTCTAGGAGGTAAGAAAGTGCTAGTGTGACATTACAAACTTTGGAGAAGTAACAGTTCACAGAAGATGAAACGGGAGTATATAACCCCCCTTGATGATGTGTGAAATGTATGTGGATCAAATGTCTGCAGAGCACAGGGATTCAGTATATTTCATTTGTTTAGTAAAGGGAAAGGTAACTTCATGAAGTAGACTAGTGATCATTCGTGTGTAAGAAAGGTCTTGAATTTTATTTCTGTAACTGTTATGTAGTACATTATAGTTTCTAATAAACTTTTCTGGGTCTGCATTCATGTGCTCTATTGCTAATAATGGTTTTGTCTACTTCTCCTTGTTTTTATATTTTATCTTGTTCTCTTGAAGAGACCCAATTCTTTATGTGAATTCATTAGGTGACATAAGTGCCATCTCAAAATAGTGAGATTTGTTAATGTGGATGAGTCTGTAAATGCCATAATAAAACTCATTACTTTGTACAATTAACATACACTGAAAATGGAAGTCTTTTTCAAACTATTTGAATCAGAAAAACATTCTAAAACACAAAAGAGTCCAATATAGACACCAGAATGTTCCTTGTAGCATTTTTTGTAATAGTTCAAAAAAAGGGGATACAATCCAAAAGTACATGCAAGCTGAAACCAAGCAAATAAATTAAAGGACATCTATACAAGAAACCATTATGCGCTACTAAGAAAAATACCCACTAAGGAAAAGACGTTTGAATACATAACTGAAAAAAGCAGTTACAGAACAGTAGGTATACTATATAGCCTGTGTGGAGAGAAAGCACAAATAATCAGACTATGAATAGAAAAATATGGAGGAATGTCTATCAAAATGTTAATCATGACTATTTTGGGGGAATGAGATTAAAGATAGCCTTTCATTGTCCGTTACATATTTCTGCATTTTCTGATTTTCACACAACAACACACTACCTTTATAGTAAGAGAAAATTATGATATAAAATAAATAAATTAAATGAATGAACCGTTTTCGTGGGGCAGTTTGGGTTGGAAGGGCTTCAGACCGAGCCTGGTACAGTGGCATAAACATGGGCTTTGGCGTCAGACAGCATTGAGCAGGGCCCCATTGCCCCACCCCCGAGGAGGGGGGCGGAGGGCAGGGGGCTGCGGAAAGGGGCTGGGCTGGGCTGGGCTGGGCTGTCTGCAGCTCTAGTCCAGGAGGCTGAGACTTCGAGAGGGACTGAGAGCAGGCACACGCATCCCAGACCCGCTAGAGGACAAGGTGAGAGGACAAGACTGGGCTTTCCTGGCGACGAGACAGTGGTTCTAACTCCCGAAACCTACAGCTGGGCAGGTGGACAATTCTTATTTCACTACTGTAGCTGGAGCAGAGGTGCTGCTTTTAATGCGGTGTGGGAAAGAGAACAACCAAGAAAGTAGTAGGCTGTATATGGACTGGACAGCTGAGACTGTCGGAGGTGAAGGAGAGAAAAAGGGGAACTGTGCATGTTGGGAGGAGAAGGAGGAATACGGGGGGGGGATGTGGAGGGGGAGACAAGATCCAGAGAGGAGAATAGGGGTATGCAGAGAAGGGTTAAGGAACATTGGGGGGGTTGTGCATAGGTAATACAGAGGAGGATGTAAGGAATGGGAAGAGATTTCTTAGGGTAAATAGGATATGCGATGGGAAATAGGGAGTCCGGAGTCAGGCAGAGGGAATAAGGAGGGGGGGGATAAGGAGTGATGTGGGGGGAAGGGCAGACGGGCTGGGACGGAGGCCCCCAAGGGAGGCGGAAAGGGGCGGGACCACTTCCGGCCTTTAGTGGGGAGGGCAGTATCTTGAGTTTCGGAGGGGCTTGGAGAGAGTGGACGCATTCGGGAATTGTAGGAGGAGGAGGTGAGCCATGGGCCCCAGCTTTGGATGAGAGCCTGCTAGGGGTCGGCCCCACCCTCTGGGATTTGGAGAAAACCTGCCTTAAAAGCCAAATCTTACCGAATCCATCCAGCTAGGAAGGGAGGGGACTGGACCCCGTTTGGCTGGGCCCAAGATGGAATCACTAGTTCAGTCCTGAGTTGAGGAGGGGGTGTTACAGGGAAGGAGCCAAACCAATTTGGGTTTTGCCGTTTGGAGGGGGGCGTGTTAGGATAAAGGGCGGGACTTGGAGGCTCTGTGAAATTGATAGGGTGGATGTGAGTAGGGGAGGGGCTGGGACCACCAGACACTGCGACAATTTGGAAGGAAGGCTTGGTGGGG